GGGAGGTGTGTGGTATTTTTTTTCAGGTGTATAGTTTTTCTTGTTTTTTTTATTATTTGTATCGGTCTGTTTCTGTGTTTGCTGGCTGTGGTGTTTTGTTTTGGTTTATTTTTGTTTTTAAGTTTTGTTTATTCTGGTGTGTTTAGTGGGAAATTTTTTTTTGAGTGATTGATGAATTTTGTTTAGAGTTGTGAGTTTTTTCTGCAGACTGTCTTTGTTTGAAATGTTAGTATGTATGATGATGGATATGGGACGATGTATTGGAGCTTTGGTGTAAACTGCGTTGCATTTGGTGTGAGTGCGACGGGTTGCGTATAAGGTATGTGGCGTGGGGTGAAGGGGTTTGTGGTACGAATACTTAGGTGTAGGGGCAGGTAAAAAGGATTCATACTGCTGGCGCAGTGTGGTTGATAGAGGGGTTGAACACAAACTTTGTCCAAAAACCTCTCATGTTTAGCTTTTTTCCACTTTTTCTTTGGTCATTTTGGGTGAAGGTAGTGTCTGCCATCAAACAAGAAGACAGCCGCATGTAACTATGTGTTACATGCGGTGTTTGCTAGTTCACCTTACGTGCATTAATTTAATAACATAAAAAAATATATGTTACTCTTCTCCCCTCCCCCTCTTTTTCCCTTTTCTGGGAGGCAGTGGGGAGGTAGAGCGTACAGTTCGATCCGGCGGGGAGGTGTGGGATACCAGATCAGGGGCCCCCCTTCTGGCACAGAAATAACAGTTTAGCATGAACCAGTGACACTGATCAACCCTGGCAATGCCTCCTTGGATGAGGGTGTCTAGTGTAAATGGCAAAACACCCAATGAATGCATTGGGTAAAAGGATTGTAACATCTCCTTTTACTGAATCAAGTAACTTCTTCAGTCTCCTCCTCCTTTAGTTTGTGTTTTAGTATTGTTCATGGTTCAGTTTCCTTGTTTTTCCATGTCTCTCGTACATGTAAAGTTATGTCTCCATGATTATTCATGTCTCCCAGTTACTGTTAATCTTGCATGTCTTGAGTCTCTGTCTGTTTCCTGTTTTATTTTGACAGTTCCAAGTCCTGTATTCAGTGTTTCCAGTTTGCTTCCTCCTTGTCTCAATCCTTGTCAGATTTGTTCCAGCTGTGTTTTTGTCCCGTGTCTCATTCCATTGTTATTATTTGTGTATTTAGACTCTGTTATTTCCTCTGCACATTGTTGTGTTGTCCCATGTTGCTGTGTTGTTTCTCTGTGTTCCTTGAAGCTGTGAATTTCCTCCTGGTTTGTCTAGTTCTAGTTTACCAATTTCCCTGTTTTCTAGTTTTAGTTCCTTGTTTCTAGTTTGCAGTTTTGGTTTCGTGTCTCCTATTTACCGTATTTTAGGACCATAAAGAGCAACGGATTATTAAGCACGCTGCCGATGAACGGGTCTGATTTCATACATAAGGCACATCAGATTATAAGGCACATTAACCCTTTAAAACCGATCGGAGCGGGAACGCTCTGTTTTGCGTAACTATTTTTAAATCCCGGTAGCACTGCAACCACGTAAGCTGGCACAAATTTTTTTTTTGCATATGAAACCGGAGGAGTTGTACTTACATCTTATGCCATCAGCTTGTCCTAGGTCACGGTTTCCTTCCACATATAGCTTTGCAAAAACTGCATAAAAAGCGCTTGCAGGAACAAAAACATAATATTCCAGAAACACGCTTTGCCGATCCGATCAGCTGTTCATAACACTTCCTACGTTGGAATAGACGTCAGCGCGAACTTTTGCATGTCCGCCATTACCTGCCCGAAACCGGAAGTGACGTCATTTTCGCGGAAATGTAGTTTTTACCATCAGGGCCTCAGGGCCTATACTGGTGTTTTTAAAAGTTATCTTTGACTTTATGACTTTCTGTGTCGTTTCTGGGATGCTTAGGACTCATATTGCACTGCTGGAAATAGTTTATTTTGATGCATATGCTGTTTTTTTGCAAATTTGCAGTATAATATTTATTTTCGTTTTTCCTGCAGTATATAAAAATTGGTGTATTTCAAAAATAAAACTATGAAGACACTCAAAATAAATTTCCTGTGGTGGGAAACTATTTTGTGCAACTTTTTTGTATTTACAGTTTTGAGGGATAAGCCTCTTAAATTTCTCTAACTAGAAATATATGTTAAAAAAACAAAAACGATTTTCAATTTTTTTGTAGTTTATTGCACTTTTTTGCAATTTATGTAATTACTATGCACTTAATGCAGACATATTATTAAAATTTGGGCTATAATGGTTGTATTGATGTATAGCAACTTGAAATGCTCCCAAAAATGGCTCCACAGCATGTAAAATAATATAAGCTCTGGCGGACTTGGTTCTATGGTAGGTCTTAAAGGGTTAAGAAACAAATAAGTCAGTAGTGAAAAAAGTTAGCGTTCGTCCTCCAGCTTCACTGTTTATGTTATGCTAACATAGCTGTGTCGCTAGCGATCACGTAGCACATCATTATATACCAGCTAGCCCAACTTCAGTAACCCTACAAACGTCACTGCTGTTTAGTTTCCTGTCTTCATTTATGTTGGAAGTGATAGCAGAGCTGTACGTTTGAATTTTTTCAGAAATCTCTCAGTCAGAACATGCTATATCATGTTTAGGTGGAAACTAGCGAGCTAACTTCCTGCTAACTTCTAACTCTGTTAAATTTAATAAATTCTGTTTTCATGGATGCCTGGATGTTAAACGTAATTGTTACACCCAGTAAAGCAGCAACGCTGATCATTTTATTAGAGAGGAAATAATTTAGACAGTTTTTAACTTGTTTGACTTTGGGACCTGGAGAAGACGGAGTTTGGACCCAGATTACTCCGAAAGGCTCCTGCCTACGGTAGCCGTAATGCTCCGACAATCCATCAAGTGGTGCGGCTTCCAAAGTCGTACTGAAACATCTGCCATAAAATCCTCAAAAACACAGACACATATATGGAAAAAAAACATAGGTTTTGTCAGTTTTTTCATAGATAAGTAATGATTCAAATGTTTAAACTGGCATTTAAAGCATTCAAACCTTGAAAATTATTTAATGTTTGATCATTTTGAAAAGCGCTCAAGTTGGTTATTTTTGGGGAAAAGGACAGAAAAAAATATTGCTGTATTAGGATTTTATGAAAGATATTGTCAGTGTACATTTTTGTCTACAAAGGTGTTGCAACGGTGCAAAATTTGAGGAGGACATAAGGGCTAAAACAGATATTTTTGTGTCCTTTTATTTGTCTAACAAAAATGTAATAATATAAACTGTAACTGCCCACCAGAGGCTAAAGACTCTCTGGCCTTAAGTACGAATTGCCTGGGTGCCTCCTCTCTGTGGAGAAATAGCTCTACACAGAGGTGGTACATAAGGCTGGAAAGAGGGTAGGACACGTCCACGCAGGCAACACAGCCAGTAAACTCTAAATGCTCTGATATGCCATATCAAACAAGCCTCATTAAACAAGGGACAGATTGTCCTTTATCAATGATTAACAGATAAGGTTCTTCTGTAGTTGCCCCAGTTGCCTCAAGATGCTTTATATGTCTACAATTGTGATGTGAAAAGCTAAATCATAATTGTTTATAGTGGTTATTTGTATGAATAATGTTCAATTTTCTGTGCCTTCTAGGATTTTTTTCCCATATTTTTCACTTCAGTCTACATCTACAATGTTTTGCCTGAAGGATGGACGATGCTGTAAAATGCCACTTGGGGCCATCTGTGTCTTCCTTTTTCATCACTTTATTTTTTTCTTTCACTTAGCACAGTTTTGTGGAGGTAATTAAGTCTTATCGTTATGGAGTTACACAAATTATGCAACACATCTAAGTCTATTAATTACACAAATATTTCTGTTATTGATTAAATGTCAGCCATTTCATTTATGCCACAGGCTAAAACAGCAAATGTAAAACACCTGGGCTTCTGAACCTCTGTTTAAAATAATCTAATCAGAAACTAATAAAACAATGTTTGGTAACTTTCTCAAAAATGACAAGTATTTGTAATTTTCCTTTAGGTGTGTCTCAGGTGGTTGGTCCATCTGAGCCAGTTGTGGCAATAGTTGGTGATGACACTGTGTTACCATGCCATCTGGATCCTGCTGTGAATGCTGCTGATATGACAGTAGAGTGGACACGATCTGACCTCACACCTAAATTTGTGCATGTTTGGCGTGACGGCGTGGAGCTCGTGAATAAAAAAAATGAAGCTTACATGGAAAGAACATCACTACCCATTAACAACCTGAAGCTCGGAGACATTTCACTAAAACTCTCCAAAGTGAAACTGTCAGATAGGGGATCATACAAATGCTTCAGTCCTGCGCTTAGTGGACAAGCTAGTGTTGAGCTTGTTGTTGGTAAGTGGAGATATAGTCTTTGTACAGAAAGGTCAAAATGAGATCTAATGTTGGAAATCATCAGTCAATATTTAGTTTAGAAAAAAAACAACATTGTTAGTAGTAAAAAATCATAAGGGTAAAAAATACAGAATAGTAGAATAGTGTTTTTCATGTCACTGTTAAATGGTTTAAATACAGTTGGTGTACAAGTATTCAGTGCATTTGCAATAAATTTAATGGCCCTTTAGTGTTGCTACTAGTTATGGTGACCAATGTGTTTTCCCTTTTCAAAATTAGGTGTAGTTTCATCACTTACCATCACTGTAATGAGGAACAGTGAGGATTAAATAAATCACCTGTAATAAGAACACACAGAATATCAACAAGTAGCCTGCAGCAATTTTACAAACAAACAAAAAATATATAACTAAATAACTTGTTTTTTACCTGGAACATGTATGTGTGTCTCTCTGCTCTGGTTGGTGTTCCTCTGTTGGACTCTGCAGGTGATGTTGTTGCTGTGTCTCTTCTCCACAGTCACTCTGCTGCTGACAGTATAGAGGTCATCAGGACCTCTGAGGGTCTCTGTAGGTCCAGCAGAGAGGAGGTTTCCCTCACCGTCCAACCACAGCAGCTCAGGCTCTGGATACCAGCCTGCAGACTCACACTGTAACACCACTTTACCGCTG